AATTAAATCTTTACTTTTTTTCTCTTTGTTTGGCTAGCTTATGCATATATTTTTCACAATCTTTAATATCTAATATATTATAAAGATCACTAAATGTAGAATATTTAGCGTCACAAGTTATGCTCTTATACTTCTACAGGTCATCTTATTGATTTTTCCAGTTCTCAAAGCTTTTACATTTAAATCAATTTTTATAACACTTTTTATATTTTATCTTTTTTTTCACATTGTTATTCCACCACCAACTATTTTTATTTCATTTTTTTTTCTTTTGATTCTTCAATTACATTTTTTGTCATTTGCTTAATAGTGCTTCTTACTTTATCTCACATAGAATTCACTTCTTCATAAACATCTCAATCTTGAAATCTTGAAGTTTACTCAGAAAAATAATTTTATATGTGACTTTTAGGTGCCCCTATTTAATTCTATGATAATATTTCATTATTTTTTTTATCTTACAACCCCTTCATCTTAAAATTCAGAACTAATAATTAATATTGAGTGCTTAAATTTTCACCATGAATGATCTTACAATCTTTACATTCTCGACGATATCTTTTTTCTCATAAGAAATAATCAATTTGTGTTTTAGTAGATCTATTCTTATAAGTAATGATATGCTCGTCTCTTTTCTTAATTAAATAATTAGTAATAGCAAAATTATATGCTAAAGGAAAATCTAATATAGTTTTACATTTTTAATTAATCACTCCAAAATTGTAGTCACTATGAATATTTCTAAAATCTTTTACTATTCTACCAACATGTTCATTTAAATGTCTACCAATTAAAATTTTTTCTTTAAGAGGTATCATTTGTACTTGGTCATTCCTAAAATTTTCTTTTAAACATAAGCACTTATAATATTAAAAATCCTAGTATCAGAGCTATAATTATATCTCCAATTATATTAATTTTTATAATATTATCTTTCAAACTCTTGTCTGCAATTATACTTATGTCTTTTTTAGTACGACTCCTACTATATTATCTTTCAAACTCTTGTCTGCAATTATACTTGTCTTTTTTAGTACGACTCCTACTTGAATACCAAAATTTAAAACTTAAGCTATCAATCTCTTTAGTTTTTTCTCGAACACATTTAGTTTTTTGAATATATAATATATTTATTTTCATATAAATCATGATTTCTATTAATTTCATTAATTTACCTGTGAGATTACCTGTATTTCAAGATTATATCCTAATATTAGTTTTATTGACTATTTTTTCGCTCGCATTTGTCTATAATGTGGAAACTCTTGCTTATTTGATACTACATCCGTGAGCCGATATAGCCGCTTCTGCACTAGTTTCACTGTATTCTGGTCATACAACATATCGCTTACAGGGAATGTTCTAGCATTTATACAATGACTTAAAAAGATTTATGTCATGATTTTTTGATAAAAATTTTATATTTTCTGTTGTATCTGGAGCTTGGGACCCGGAAATGACAATATATTTACATATTAATTAGTAAATTGAAAAAATATATATATAGATTAATAATATATAATTTAAAGATATTTGCATATTATTTTATATTTAAGCAAATAACGAGTTGAACATTGTCGAATAAAGCTCTATTTTGTAGGTTTCATTGAGAAATGTGCTTAAAATAAGTATTCAATATTAGCCATATTAAAAAATGAATTGAACACAATCTTCTTACTGAGCAAAACATGAGATGTTTGCGAACAATGAACTTTTTTTTTGACAACTTTACGTAAAACTCATAAACAATGACAATTTAGTCCTTTTTAAGTTTTTTATTAGTATTATTTAATTTTCTAAAAAAATTGATATCTGTTAACAATTCTAAAAAAATTTAGTAACTCATCCCATATGAATGAAATTAATCCTAATTTCTTGCATCCTTGATAACTTTCTAGTTTTTAGGTCCTTTGGATCAATGTCCATAATTTTGAGGGTGAATTGTTGAAAACACTAAATCAGTTTAAAATTTTCAAAATTCTTAAGATAGATAGATAGATATTATGTTCAGATTTTTCTAATATAATTTGGTATGTTTAGTCGTATAAAAATGTATTTTATCTATCCTATGAAAAGAAGGCAAATTCATCCATCTTATCTAAAACTGTTTAGCTAACTCATTCTTCCATCTTCATTCTTTCGGGCAAATTTTTTTTTTCTGATTCTTATGTTCTTTCTAAAAGATGCAGTATTGTTTTTTCTTGTTGTTTTATATTATAGCTTCACATGAAAGATGAGTACATGGTTTTTTTCCTATTTACTGACGATATTCATGGATTTCCTTCTTCTAGCTGGAATTTACATTTATAGCGCATTAAGAGCTGTTACAATGATTTTATAACAATTATTTCATAGCACAAAGATCACAAGCCAAACAACATGAAGTCTAAGTTTGGAGATTACAAACAATACTAAAACAAAGAAAGCTTTCACAATAGTGTAGAGTAAACGTCATTCAACTACTAACATGTCAAGTTAATTATACGTCAATGAGAGCTAATAAGAATCTTATTTGCATTGCAATTGATTTTGAAACTTTATAACATAGGACAAATTAAGAAAAAAAAACTGTTTTGTTACGTTACCAACAACTAAATAACATCCATCAAAGCGTTTATACTAGCATAATAAAAGCAACCAAAATCCCTAGCTAAAGAAGTCCATCCTTTTTTAAGAAATGGAAATGCAATTTAGAAAACGGAGGCTTCCGAGTTCCCAACATAGCAAATTCATCCTACCAACGTATGAAAATAATTGTTTTCTTTATAAGGGTCTATTAAGCATCATCATCATCATCAACCTCATCCCAACTACGGGAACGGTGTTATTACTTTCATTTCTATTGATGGCTATCTAAGGTTAAGTCTATTCATCACAAATCAATTTGAACAAATTCTATCAATTTAACTTGAGACACCACTTTTCATTTCCAATGCTATAATACTAACTTTATCAAACTTCTTAACGAGTAAAATTTCTACCATTTATTATACATGTCGAAACTACATAATTCTATTTTCAGTGATCTTATCTTTAATAGATGTCACTCCAATATTTCCTCTAATATGATCTTCATTTAATTATCCTTCATAATTGTCACATAATCATCTTAACATTCTCATTCATTACACGCTCAAATATCAATGAATTTTTCATTGCTAACGTTTAAACCAATGCACGATCGCCCTAGTAACAATTATATAAGCACTAAATTTAAGCCTCCTAAATTTGTAGCCTTAAATCTAGAAATTATATCCTAATCAATATTCTCATAATAGATCCAATACATTTAAACATATTATATTTAGATACTATATTATAATATAATAATAAGGAATTATACTTGCTAAAATGATATTCATTAAAATTACATAGTACATTATACTAATTCTGAGGTCTCTTAACTTCAAAATATTTTAACCATTTTTTCACTTGTTTTGATAGATGTCTCGGCAATTAAAATAATATCAATCTCAAAAATCATTCATTAAAACTCATTGCATTGCAATCTTTTATAAGTATCTCCATGGTTGATATAAAATTTATGAACTTAATGCTAATCAATTCATGTAGACCTACAATAATTGAAAACTCTATGGCTGATCCATAACTTCTAATAGAAGTCTATGCTCCGACATACACATCTTTTATAAAGTCAAAATATATTTGATAGACATTTTTACCTTAAACTACACACAAAACAATTCAGGTGATACTCAATTATAGGTTTTTAAGATCAATAAAAATCACATGTAAATCATTTATTTGCTCTTTATGCCTCTCCATTTATTGTCTTACACTAAAATCTCTTTCGTAATGGATCTTCCTAGAATAAAACCAAATTGATTTTCCAAAACTCATGTAACTTTCCGAAGTCTATGTTCCATTACTCTCTCCATTAACTTCAATTTATAATTCATAAATTTGATCCCATTATAGGAAGCACAATCCTAAACATCATTTTTGTTATTAAAAATTGATATTGAATTTTTATTGACTAAATTACCATATTATGCCACATAATTCTCCAAATTCAATCGATGTCTTCTTATTGGACATAAAGCCTTATTTTTAAACATAATTTTCAAAATTTAAATTTAATTTCTTTTTTTTTTAACTAATATTCAGTTGATTCATAGCTAACTTCTAGATGTTCTGACACAAGTCTACAATATGAGGCTATAACGAATTTGAAAAGCGTTATAGGAATATTTATGAAGGTTCTTTATTGTTTCATCAACCAAGTAAAGGTTCCTTGAACACTCCTTAACACGAAAACTGGTTTATCTTGTCATAGCTCTCAATCGAAAAGTGGTTTATCGTGTCACACCTCTCCATCTTCAAGGAAGTAGTCACTTAATAAAAGAATGACAAAGTTGACATGATTGACACTCTGTTTTCTAGTCTCACCATTAATCCATCGATGCTTCCATTTTGTGAAAGAAAATATGATGGCAAGGTTTTTTCATGTAGCTTTGAGGGCATTTCGTATTTAACAGCATCTATAGTAGTATTATTTGTTTTTTTTATTTTATATTTGATATTCTTTAAACATTATCAAAATTTTAAGACCTTAACCTTATGCATGAAATCAATCTTAATTTCTTGCATCTTTAATAACATTTTTAAAATTTTGGTCATTTGGATCAATATTCCTTTATTTGAAGGTGGATTGAGAAAAACTCTAAATCTTCTCAAATTAACATTCTAAAGGTAGATAAATAGATAGTAGGTTCAGATTTTTCTAACATTTTTTGGTATGTTTAGTCATAGAAAGATATGTCACCATGTTTAGTCATCGAAAAATATGTCACCCTATATTTTTTCTTTCCTATGAAAGAAGGCAAATTCATCCATCTGTGATAAAAACCATCTATATCTAAAAAGTGATTACCTATTCTATCTGCCTCATTTTGAATTCTTCCATCTTTTTTTTTTCTTGCAAATTACTTTTTCTGACGCAATCTCATTTCTCCTTTATTTAAATGATACATTTGCAGGAAAGAGGAGTGGATGATTTAGAAACAAAGAAGGTTGTTCTTGTGCATGGAGGTGGTTTTGGTGCATGGTGCTGGTATAAGACTATGTCGCTTTTGGCGGACGCCTCGCTTTTGGGGGATGCTGGATTTGAGGTCACTGCAATAAACCTTGCTGGATCTGTAACTCATTCCGTCGATGCTAACAACATTACAAGTCTTTCCGAATACTTAAATCCATTGATTACTTTCCTTGAAAAGCTTGGTGATACAGAGAAGGTTTGCTCTCTTCTTCCTAAATTAAGATTGAATATATTCCATTATTCATCATATTTTTTTTGTTTTGTCATTTTAGAATCTACTTAGCTCAACAATATTTTATATCTTTCTAATATTCATCTTATCGATTAAAGTGTCCAAATAATTCCCTGAATATTTACATGGGACATTTTTAGTCTTAGAGTCTATAAAAATGTCAAATTAATCCATAGACTCTTTTAATATGGGGTAAAATAGTTCCAGGAAAGACTATTTTAGCCACCAATTAAAAAAATTGGAGATTAAATTGACACTTTTATAAATTTTAAGATTAAAATATTCCCCCGCGAAGAGTTGGGGATTATTACAATGTTTTTTTTTAAATGACTGCTCTTTTCCTCGCACCATTGTAGCCTTCAGTTCTGGTTTTGGGAGCATAGATGATCTTGCTGAACTAAAAAATTGTATTCTTTTGGATTTTAATCTCAAGCATTTTTTTACAGGTGATCCTAGTTGGGCATGACTTTGGTGGTACATGCATCTCATATGCCATGGAAGCATTTCCGGCGAAGATTGCCAAATCTGTCTTTCTTGCTGCCTTTATGCTGAAAAATGGCCAAAGAACCGTTGAGAACTGTTGACATGCTCTCTCAAGAGGTTTCAATTCATTTTTACAAATCATTATTTACATACATACCACACAATTCGTATATATTTTCATATCTGACACAAAATGTAATATTTATATGCATACCATTAAAATCCTTAACCACATAAAAATTACTACCGTTACTAAGTTTTTTTAAGTAAAATACACATTTTTCATGCATAATTTTATAATGCCAAAGAGTTATAAATGTATATATATATATTTGAAAATTGTGAAATATCTTGTCATTTTCACCAAATGTATTTTGTTGTGAGGTACATGGACTGCTGATCACTCCTAACCATATCTGCTATCCATTTTTTTCTGACAATAGGAAGCTACAAATGAACTGATGCAACAAGCTCAAATCTTTTTGTATGCAAATGGAAAAGATCAAACTCCTACAGCTATTAGCCTCGAGACATCATTATTAAATGATCTTCTGTTTAATCAAAGCCCTACGAAGGTATGCCTTGTTCTACCGATCAACAGCCTTTTTATTTTATTTTATTTTATTTATTTTCTTGTCTTCTGTATAGTTAGTGTTAAGGTAAACGTTTGTTTTGCATAAAAGTGTCTATGTATAGGAAATTAAAGAGCATATAAATGATAAAAAGTACTTTTTTTTTGTAATACTATTTACAATCTTGTACTTTCTAGTAATTTCTCTCGAGTTGGATCCTTAATTAATTAGCTCGAGCTTGTAGCATAGATTGTTAAACTAAAGTAAACCTAAAGCTTTGATAAAAAATGACCAATTGTTTCGTCTTGATAACGAACGAGGATGCAAAAGCGCAATGACTTGAATAATGTAGGAGAGAGCATTGACAGGTCGGGAATGATCGAGTCAACTATCATCTAAGATTGAACATATTATGGGGAGGGATTTAGTTGAAAGAGACTTTTGGCAATAAAAAATTCCTCTTTTTTTTATTATTAGATGCTTGGATTACTAGTAAATGAAAATTATTATTCATTTTACTTGACTTGTATAAGTTATAGATATATATGATATTATGTTTTGAGAAATACGTAGAGGGAAGAAGGCCCCACATCTTCTTTACATTATATTGGAACTTGACAATTGATACAATAGTTGGTTCAAAACTATTTAACAACTAAGGAAATTTGACAATCATCACAAATCAGAGAAGACTTGAAGTTTTTCATGAGAAACAATAAGGAAATGAAAAGCTTTCAACCACTGAAGATGAGCAAGATGACAACTACGTCCGTGCATGGTAAGCGTGGGGGATGAGCAAGTTAGGATAGCCCATCTCGAATACCATACAACAACACCAACAACAACAACATCAGCAACAAGGCCTTAATCCCACTACGTGGGGTCGGCTACATGTATCTTTTTTCTCGATTGCATCCTATTTAGTGTCATATTTTCATTTAGTTCTAATAAATTAAGATATTTTTTTTATAAAATAAGCCCAAGTCTTCCTAGGTCTACCCCTACCATCTCGAATACCATATTAAAGGAAAATCTTTTTTTTTCTGTAGGATATCGCTCTGGCTTCAGTTTCTATGAGGCCCATCCCTTTTGCACCAATACTAGAAGAACTCCAGCTTACAGATAACAACTACGGCTCAGTCAGGAGATTTTACATCGAGGCTACTGAAGACAATGCGCTGCCTCTTCCCCTGCAACAAAGACTGTGCGAATCCAACCCCCCGGAGAAGGTTTTTAGGCTTAAAGGCTCCGATCACTCCCCATTCTTTTCCAAGCCTCAAGCTCTGCACAAGATCTTGCTGGAGATTGCAGCTATTTCTCCTAACCAGAACTTGAAAAATCTGTAAAGCTTTTGCTCATAAGAATTTGAAACTCATCGGACTCAAAAAAATGTTTTGATTCTTAGAGGTTGATTCTGGCGACATTTATTTTCCAATGAAAATCATTTCAAAGATGTTGACATAAAATTTGGGGGCATTTACATACATACTCCACCAGATTCCTATGTATTTATATATCTAACATCAAAAATTTACTTTTTGCATTATTACCCCCAAATCTTTCATATCATGTCAAAAATATGATCTTTTATTAACTTTTTAAAACAAGTGAATTGCACATTTTCAGTCATAGATAAGGTGGATATGTAAGAATCGGGTGGTATATTTGTAAATGGCTCCAGAAATTGGGTTGAATGTCCCGCCTCAAATATAGTTAGTGTTTTTAACCATTAGATTTTCTTTGAGATTCGTGTAATATAGGATGTCTTGAGTCAAATATAACCGTTATATTGCACTCACCTCAAAATAACCTTGATAATTTTTTTATCTAGATTTTAATCATATCATTAAAAATAAAAATCATATTTTAAATTTAATATTTTCATTAATTTAATAGTAATTTATTATTATCTAAAAATAAGAAATTAGAATTGAATTTATCTTCTAATTAAAACATACTTCTCACCTTGATTTGAAATGAATTTCAGGGAAGAAGATGTTGGCATATGGTGATTAATTGTAGACAGCTACAGTTAAACTGGTCTTTAATAATAGCTTTTTGATTGTATTTATTCTTTTTAACTCTATTATAAATTATTCATTTTCATATTTGATTTTATTAAAATTTAAAAAAATTACGCTCAAACTTATTTTTAATTTATTTATGCTAAATAAATGAATACTTCAACAAATTAAGAAAAAAATTGACTAAAAATTGAATGAATTCCTAGCTTTTCGTATGAAATTATTAATAAATTATTTTATAAATCAAAATAAATAAGTAATTGAATAAATTATAAATTAATATTTAGCTAATTCATATCAATTAAATAGAATAACAATAAATTATAAATATTTTTTATAATAAAATAATATAGAAATAAAATACTGACAAATTATTTTGATGACAAAAGAAATTAAAAATACATTGTATTATTATTATTAGCCGTACCGCGTAGTCCTCACACTAACTCCACTACCAATGTTAAAAGACAGCTATGCAAAGCATTGCCTTTCTCATTTATATTCTAGTTTACTGTATAATTACCATAGTAGGGAATATACTTTCTCCCTTGTGCTATAATTTATAATGCATATTTAATATATTACTATTAAATAGATAATTAAATAAATTCTAAAATTTTTAAATTTCATTTAAATAATATAAATTATCGTTATATTAAGTGTAAAATATTTAACAAGTTTATTTATTGAAAAATAAAAATATTTATTCATGAATATAAATAACTAATTTAATCCATATTCAAGTTTAGTTTTGATGAAGAAACTTGACCAAGTATTAATCCAACCAAATTTGAGTTAAAAATAGGGAGATTAAATAGAATTTGAGCAAATCAATCTAAACTCAATAATAAAACAAATATATATATATATATATATATATATAATAAATAAAAGATGTATTAAAATACATTACCAACATATATAAAGTTAATTTATCAGTTGAATCCACCTTATTTTGAATGAATCATCTTCCAATTAAATCATATTAGTTTTGAATAAATTTGAAGCACCTAGCATAATCCTACCCTAATGTTGACATATAAACTTGTTCATCAAGCCAAAGAAAAAAAAATGCCTAAAGAAGCAAGAAATGACCAGCACTTCCCAAAATAATAAAAAAAAACCTTTTATGTGACTTGTACTAAATAATGAACATTACCTTAAAACATAGAAAATTTACACCACTAAATTCATTGTCAGCCCATCCTATTTGCATTCTCTCACCTTTTATTATTCCCCTCTTTGAACTTCACAACTGATATTTTCCCCACAATATTTTGATGATGTTATCTTAATTTTCTTCATCTCCTGAGCTATCAACCTGCAAAGGCTTTCTTAACTGAATCACTTGGGGATCAATACAGCCTTTACTAATGTTGCTTCCATTGATTCTGTAAATGTTTACATGTTCTGTTCCTCTGCTGCCACTTTAGGTTGTCCATTAGCTGAAGAGCCATCAGCTAGTCCTGCTACATACAAAATTAATTAATAAATAAATGAAAATGAGAATATCAGTTGGTAAGCTTAAAGTTAAGCAACATTATTTTTTTATTTACAAAGAGAAAACTTGAAATATTGTTCTACATTTTTTTTTTTCGGAAGGCACCTGAGGGTTCATTTCTCGCAGGTACTGGCATTGATTTTCCTTGAGCCTGCAGAGAATAGAATTATAGTTTCAAGTTAATTTCAAAATAGGAAAATATCTTCAAAAGAAAAGAAAAAAAGTGGAAAACAACTAAGAGCATGAAGAAAATAAACTTTGAAGTAAAGTGCCAATATGGTCCCCGACTACTTACCTGTTGTCGTTTTAGTCCCAGAGAGTATAAAATGGTCAATTTAATCCCATAAATATAGGGATGTCAAAACGGCTCGTTGTTCGTGAACAACTTATGTTCGGCTCATTAATTAGCTCGTGTTCGATTCGTTCGTTAAACAAACAAGCCGAACCCAAACAATTTTTTTGCGTTCGATATATAAACAAGCCAAACATGAACAAAGAAATGTTTATTCGTGTTCGGTGTGTGTATAATGAGTATTATTTTTAAATAATTTAATTGACAACAAGGCAAAAAGATTATAATCAATTAAAATTACTAGTTAAAAATAGAATAAAAATATATGAATTTCTATTTAAATGAATATTTTAATTTAATAATAAGATTTAAATCTTGCCCTCCATAAAATTCTACGGTTGTGTGACTAGGGTTGTCCAAATGGCTCATTGTTCGTGAACAACTTGCATTCTACTCGATAAGAAAATGAGCCAAACACATAAATTTTTTGAACTCGATATATAGACGAGCCAAACACGAACGATGATATTTTTTAACAAACCGAACAAAAGCCGAGCTCAGGCTCGTTTACACCCCTAAGAGCTGCATGATTAGGGTTGTTAAGACGGCTCTTTGTTCGCAAACAACTCGTGTTCGGCTCGTTAAGAAAACGAGCCAAAAACGAACAATTTTTTTTTTCTTCAAATTATAAACGAGCCGAACGCGATTTTTTTACAAGCTGAGTCCAGGCTCGCTCATGTTCGACTCGTTTATACCCTACATAAATAGTCCTTCCTTTCGAAATTCTGAGGTCTATTTCAATCCATAAAAAATTGGGGATTAATTTAACAATTTTATAGATCGTACGACTAAAATGAGCCCATGCAAAGAGTCAAAGAATCACTTTGATATTTTTCTCATTAACAAGTCTTTTGAATTTTTTGTTCTGTACTATTCCAATATATGGCTCTTCTCCATTTGCTTCAGCTTTAGGTTATATGCAAGCTAGGAATTTGAATGAAAAGAAATATAAATCTCAAATGAAGGATCGTTTTTTCATAATCAAACTATTAATCGCATGCATTTCAATTCATTTTATTTACTTTTTCTCCAGTTGAAATGGAAAGTCCCAAGATTTTAATAGATGGACCTGGGAGGGAAAAGCTAATCCTGTTTTCACTCATAGCTTTATTAGCACATCATCTCTTCTCTGTAAACATTCAAATCACCTAAATTCGTCTCCACCAAAACTCTTCTGACAAGTTTTTAAGGCCATGAAAATAAAATATACAAGAAGAACATAGAATATAATTATAAAAACTAACCATATTTTCTGGTTTATTTTCATCTTCTCTTGTATCAGCCAAGTTAGAATTGGGATTTTTCTGACAATCTTTAATATTTGTTGGATCTGGCTTTATTTCCTGAGGAATGTCTTTCGCAGTACTGCATATTTGCAGACTTAAGTTCAGTTTACTGTCAGCCTCTCCCCTCATCTTCCTGATAACATCAGGTATAATTGCAATTAAAAAACAGTGTTGTCATAAACGAAAGGAATCTGGCATAATGCAAAGTTTCTTACTTGCTCGTGCATGCAAGGCTATCTTCACAAGAACGAGAGGTGCAGGAGAAAAGCATGCCACGAAGTAACTTTCCATTTATAATCGTCTCAATCACATATCCGTGTTGATGTGTGCCTTTAACTTCAGCTTCAAATACTATCTCCTCATCAGAATAGGAGGCACTAGTCCTGGTCCCTGCATTGTTACACCACCAAATAGTAAGATTCTATGCATTAAGCCTGGTTACATCTATAAATATAAATAGAAGAATTCTTTAAATTCAAACGAGAACAAAAAAAATGTTATTTGTGACAATCAAGTTATAGTTCATTTGAAGGCATTTCTTTGCCTTTTAAACTGCTGCTATGCTTCTGTTTGACTATTATTTTCTTGTCATTTTTCAGAAATTTTTGCAGTGGAAAGTTACTTTTTACAACTTGATTTATTAGTGTGATAATTATAAATTAGTCACCGTTTCATTCGTTCTAAGAGAACATATTACCAAAATAACTTTCAAAAAAATTGCTTTTCTTATAACAGCCATAGAGACATCTATATAAGTTGTAGCCACTCCAATAGACCCTTCCATTTGTTCTTATCTATATAATTGTAGCAATCATCTTAATACACATGAATATGTGTCCAACATAAAAGTTTTAAATTTGCTACAGATGACCAACCATATGGCTGCAAACAGGAGAAAGTAGGAATAAATAAATTCTAGAAAAGTTTCTTTTTACATGGCATGGTGGCACTTTCTGATGACAAACCATACAGCGTTATTGGTAAGAATTTCTCTCATACAAAGAGAGGCGAGCCTATTTTTAAGTTAATTGCATGTAAAAGAAAAAGAGGGGTGGGAGGAATCAAGCAGAAAACCCAAAATAGTTTGATTCCAAATCAACTCAAGCTCCTTTTGAGTCAAGGCATCTATATATATATATATATATATATAAGATTTGAAATCACGCATCTGTCTCCATTACAACATATCATAGTTGAGTTTCAAGAAGAAAATAAAGTAATGGATGAAACATTACCCATCACTCTCAATGAGAACATTTATATTCATATTTATAAACTTTTCATAGATGTAATTCTCCATAATTAATTACCCCTCGTAATCATAAGAGAGAACAAGAAATTGAGGACATTCACTAGATTAAACATAAATCTAATTAATCTATAATGGCTTCCATTCTAGTTTGAAAGAATATTCTCTCTATTTTTAGAGGTGAGGGTGGGGGGGGG